AAATTTGTGAGAAATTATACGTGTATATGTATAAAGAAATTCACAATTTATAAACCGAATATTAAATATTAAAATTTTTACTTATTCGTGCAGAACAAAAATCAAATTAATAAAACAATCGAACAAATATTTATAAGTGTGAGATAATATTTATAATATTTATAACAAATATTTATAACAAATATTTATAAATATTTGTAAATATTTATAAATATAAATATTTACAAATATTTATATTTATAACAAATATTTATAATTATAACAAATATTTATAATATTTATAACAAATATTTATAATTACTAATGTACTTATGTAGTGAACACTATAACTTCAGCAGAGGTAAATCGGAGTCTAACATTTTTTTAAATTGTTCAAATATCCAGTGTTCACGCTGGCTCCATCAGTTACAACAGATGAAACGTTTTTTAAAATATTATTAGTTTTCGATCCTATTGTATCTGAAAATCCTTTCTTGACAGTACCCAGTAAACCACTCGCTTCTCTTTTGAGATTATTGTGGAATCTCGTTGATCGGTGAGATTCCACGATAATCTGTAACAGCTCGCAATAACTAGTGGGCGTGACATATTGCAAGTTACATTCAGACTTCTCACATTGAAAATTATTAATATCAAATGTTTCTGCCAGTTTGCAATAACAAAATGAGCAATAAAGATAATATCCGATTTAGTCAAATTTTTTACACAACCGTAAACATGAATAAGTAATTTTCCTATGTGATTGGCTTGAGAAAGATCGCCCAATTTGCGTATTTGTGAGTTTTTCTAATGGAGATAAAAGAAATTCCTGATAGGCTTTATGACACTCTTTATGCATTAGAAAATTTAAATGGTCCAAAACAATTTGCTCCCAAAATTTTGTCCCATTCATCGTTGTGATCGGCGGTGTTTTTTTATTATGTGAAAATAATTTCACAATGTCTAGAAATTTGACACAGTTTCTGCAATGCACGCAGTGAAGGTGATTAACATGAAAATATATCAAGCTTTTATTGAATTTAACGTTCAAATTGGATATCTCTGAATCATTTTTCTTGCAATCTACTGTGTCTTGCACTTTATTTCTAGTTACAGTTTCAACTATATTGTTACTGTACTTCTCAATTTTTCCAACATCTGCATATTCAATAGCATTGCTTCGAATTTCCTTGTTATATACATCATTTTCTAGATAAAAAAAAATTTAAAATTACTATTTTAGTGATTGAGATTTGAGATAGTTCAGATATTGTAAGATTAAGAGAATTTTCGTTTAACCTTTTAAAACAGGCAATTAATTAACGAAAAAATCGAAGAATAAATCATAACGTAGAATTCGAATAACGACAAACGATACTTCTATATTTACGATCGCCTTCATTATTTCCAGTTGATTGTTGAAAAGACGATTGTTTTGACCCCAGAAGACTGGGAGGTTGCTTTCGATCTTTTTGATATTTGAAATCTCCGATCTCAAAGCAGAAAGCTTGCTACGTGTGTATCAACTTACTCTGAACTTCAAATAAGGCAAAACCAAGGGAATTGAGTAAAAAATGTTGTATCATTCTGTACGTAACTATGGACGTAGTGTCACCTTACACTAACTCCGGTTAGCACTAATAAGATTACGAGTATTGGAATGTTGCATAAAATCAAAATGACAATACCTATGACAATCATTATAAATTATTGAAATAGCACGGAGAGATGCATCTACGCAATTAACATTTCTAACATTTCTAAACACTTAAAAAAGATCCAGATAAAAAATGGTCTGAGAAAGTGAGAGTTTTAATCCTTATTTATTTATTTTTTTTCAGTTTTCGTGTACTATGGACTCGAGCAGTTTTGAATGAAGCTTAAAATATTCCCTGATTTTTCTGATTAGTACTAACTACAGATGGCATGTAATGACACGAAACATAAATATATATTGATGTATAAAGACGAAAGAAATGACATATTTATATGTAGTCGCAAGTTCTATATCTACTTACCTAAGATCTGCTACCACTATCGTTGATTAGTGTGGATCAAGGATTGTGGTAGCAGGACCCATTGGGAATCATTGAACCTTGGACTTCAGAATGTATTAATGTTGGATGGAAGTCTAACGCTACACTTTCGAGTCATCGCCATTCTCACATACTTATTAATTATTTTTAAATATGATTCTCACGTCATTCAAAACCAGGAAATAAAATACACACTTTTAGAAAACGTAATATTTATCCAAATTTTCGTAAAAGACAATACTTGAGTGAAAGGTCGTATCTTTATGAATGTATGACAGTTACGGCAATGGTTATAAGAATACTGAATAATTTATGGTCTAATAAATTTATCGCTCATTTGATTGTTGAAAAAAATGCTGTTATTGCTATATATATATATATATATATATATATATATATATATATATATATATACAGGGTGTCCAAAAAGTAACGAATCAAGGAAATAACTTTCCAGGTAGCAAAGCTTTTGCGAAGCTCAAGGTTGTTTTAAGACTAACTTTCGACGAGGAATTCGATGGTGACCTTGGATTTGACCTTCAACCTCAATGTCAAGGTCATTTGGAGGTCAACTTTTTTTTTAAATGAAAACCCCTACTTTTGATACCAATTTTATTATTACATTTAGCGTTACCCAGGAATAACGGCGTGGACGTAGTAATATCTGTTCCCTTTAGGGTGCTTGTTTTACGAAAGTTCTATGTTGTTAAATGTTCGAATTATTTACCGTATAATTCCTGTTCTCACTAAAATAAATTCTATTATCTTAAACTTTAAAATAATTCATTCTGCTATCCTACAATTTAAAAATAAAGAAGGAAATCTAATATTTTATCGAAAAAATTTTTTTTCTTTTTTTAATTTGGCGATTTTTTTGCAAAAAAATTTCATTTTTTCGTAAAAAGTGTACCATATTGAAAAAAAAGAAATTACTTGATATTTTTGTTTGGCATAAAAATTACTAGCTGTATCGGGCCAGCTAATTGGCAACTCGAACTGTAAGGCGTTTTACTCATAAATCGATTAAAATTCAATGTTCAAAAATTCAAAATAATTTTTCCAAAAACACGTTTTTTTAATCTCCTAAAACCGGATATTCTTTTAATGTTGTTTTAATTTTATTATCAAAAGAAAAAAAACATTTGAATAAAAGCTAAAAACTAATTGAATATTATTTAAAGTTTGTTGTGAACTGGTATTTTGAGTAAGTCCGTAAAGTCAAAATGGATCGCCTCTCTGAAAGAGAAAGAATATCGCCACTTATGATGAGAGGTTGGGGTAACGTGCAGAGAACTATGAGAGAAATAGTGGATATGTTTAATCAAGCATTCAGAGTTAGTAGAACTCCCATTGCCATGTCGACTGTTCAAAATACTGTTAGAAGATTTAATCTTCATGGTCATGTCTGAGATTTACATAGAGCAGGCAGGCCAAGTACAGCAACGAATGAAGAAAAATCACTCGACGTATTTTTATCATCCACATCTTTCTATCCTCAGAGCAGCTCAAGAGCACGAAATAGGTAAATCGTCAGTACACAATATTTTAAAATTAGCAAGCTTTCATCCATTTAAAGTAAATTTGGTTCACAAGTTAAACGAGGATGATTTCGATCGTCGTGTTGAGTTTTCTGAATACATGATGGATCGCATAGTTGAAGATCCCAATTTCCCCTTCAAGGATAGCATTGTCAGATGAAGCAACTTTCCAACTTGACGGTATATTAAACAGACATAATTGTAAATATTGGGCGGCTGAAAATCCTCAATGGTTGGGAGAAGATAAATCCCAGTATCCGGAAAAACTAAATGTTTGGGCCGGAATACTAAACAATAAAATTATTGGACCATTCTTTATTGATGGCAATTTAAATGCTCAAAATTATGAAGTTTTGCTTCATATTTTGCTCGATCGTTCCTACGATTAGAGAAATGACTGCAGACACGGCAGACGCAGACAGCAGAACGGAGCAACTGCTCACTACGGACTAAACGTTCGCACATACTTAAACGGGACCTTTGTTGATCGATGGATAGGGCGAAGGGGCACAATTGAATGGCCAGCTAGATCTCCCGATTTGACGCCGCTAGATTATTTTCATTGGAGTTATCTGAAGGATCGTGTGTACCAAACAAAACCCGCAAATTTAGATGACCTTCGGCGGAGAATCGAAGATGTATCAGCTCTTATTCCCGTTCAAATCAACGAGAATGCCATTCGTGATTTCTACCATCGATTGGCTTACTGTCAGGAAGTAAACGGAGGACAATTTGAACATTTAAAGTAGATCGTTGTAATGATAGTAAGCAAACGAGAGAGGCGAGGGGACTCTCGTAAAACAAGAACCCCGATCGCGAGAGCCAAGGGCACTCACGTAAAACAAGCAACCCAAAGAGAACAGATATTACTACGTTCACGCCGTTATTCCTGAGTGACGCTGAATATAATAATAAAATTGGTGTCAAAAGTACGGGTTTCCATTTAAAAAAAAAAGTTGACCTCCAAATGACCTTGACATTGAGGTTGAAGGTCAAATCCAAGGTCACCATCGAATTCCTCGTCTAAAGTTAGTCCTAGAACGACCTTGAGCTTCGTCGCAAAAACCCAAGCCTGAGTGGTAGAGCGTAGCATCGACCCATATCTTGATGAGGCTAAATGACCTTGAGGTGAAGCTCAAGGTCATACCTCACTCATGACCTGAGTGCATGTTTGGACGTAAACTTTTCCGCTCTTTCGACTAGCAGTGTCGAAAATAGGGGTTTCCATTTAAAAAAACAAGTTGACCTCCAAATGACCTTGACATTGAGGTTGAAGGTTAAATCCAAGGTCACCATCGAATTCCTCGTCGAAAGTTAGTCCTAAAACGACCTTGACCTTCGCAAAAGCTTTGCTACCTGGAAAGTTATTTCCTTGATTTGTTACTTTTTGGACGCCCTGTATATATATAGAGGAACTATAACGGTGTAAAAAAATAATATAATTTACCAAATAGGTGGGGAGCATCGGTTCCTTTGATAGGCTGATTGGTCGAGACTTCTGAAATAGTTAAATCCGTGTTCTGTAAACACCTGATGCGCCTCTTAAGTTTAGGCAAGTCAAAGGGCAAATCTTTAAAATTAATACTAGTTGCACTGCCTGAGGTTGCAGCATCTTGTTGTTGCTGAATGAACATTTTTCGGCGTCTGAGTTTAGGCATATCAAAAGGCAAGTCCATAAGATCCATCTCACTATCCAATGCTGATTGCTTAAGATCGTTGAATGCTTGTTGTTGGACCGTTAATTGGCTTGACTGTTGATTAGGCTGCTGCTTGAAGGAGTGGAAGTTGAGCGATCTGCATTTGATGCCAGCTTTCGACTCGATAGAAATACCGCTGTCGGATCCATGAATTTCAGTATCCCCCGACGACGACGATTTCAATGCAAAATTGATGAGGTTTTTATTCTGTGGAGTACGACGTTTTTTGAAGGAATACTCGATGGGCGTGGTGGTGGGATTAATGTTAAGGCTCATCTGGCAATCTTCAGAAGATGATTTTCGTGAATTATTATTACGATTATTGTTGGAAGTTTCGTTGGATGGTTCCTGCGAAGATTTATCACTGATGGGTGATAAAATATGGCGCTTGGGCGCGTGATGTCCGGGAAAGCCTACAAGATTTGGTTCCACTAATTTTAACTGCGGTTTATTCTGAATACACCCGGCACGTCCACTGTCAGAGCTATGAGAACTAAGACTACTACTGTGAGCGTTTTCGCTACTACTAGTTGAACGATTGTCCTCACTAGTGCTGCTGCGCAATGACTCCATGCTGCCATCACTGCTACTCATGGCCATGCTCTCTGTACTGCAATAGCCGATTCTACGTCTTACATTATCTCGCTCGTTCAAGTCCAAGTGATTAATCTGTTGATGACTTTCCCTTGTTATTGGATTTTCGGATTCGTAGGGCCTGCCTTTAAATTCTTGAACAGGTCTCTTTTCTCGAGCGAGACTACGTTGTCTGGATCGTTGCTGTTGTGACTGAGTTTCACCAGCGCCACTTGATGTAGGTTTACTCCTAAACTCTAAGATCGATTTATTTGACTCCAGAGGATAGCTTTTAGGCAGACTTTTAATCTTATAATCGGTACTTTCAGCCAGGAATATCGTCGAGGGTTGGTTATTCCGAAGCGACTTTAGGGGTAGATGTACATCTTTAGAATAAAACTGTTCCAATTTCCGATGTTGTTGACTCGAAACGTTCGACGCTTTTAGCAACTGGAGTATTAACTGGTCATGGTCCTGAAATTTAACTGGCAGTGGCCTCGTTGAGGGTGGTGAGTCCGCATAACTGCAACTCGATGCATTTTTTTCATGGTTCGAGTTGATTTGGAGGGATTTGATATTTTGTGAAAGACTGTATGTGCTGTCCATCGAGTCGCGCAATAACTGGTTCGAAAGGACTTGTTCTTGATGCCAATTGACGCGATTTGATTTTTTCGATCGGAAACCGAAACTCTTGTGACGATGTTCTTTTAAAGAGTGATTGATCATCAGCTGTGACTGCTTAGATAATCCAGTTGATGAACTTGCTCGAGAGAGCGGTGTAGTCGAACAGTTTTTTAGCTAGAAAAGATCAATTTTAAACTTGTGTAGGAATTAAATATATGATGCGGATTACGAGCTGATACTCATACTCTGAAACTTACTTGCGAGATCAAAAGTGAATGGTTTGTTATTCGATCAAGATCGTCTATATTATCAACGGATCTTCTGATCTTACAGTCAAATGCTGTTTCATAGATTTGATGCTGACGGGACATCTCCTCGTCGTCCTCTTCAGTCTCGTTTTCGTCTTCAAATTCAGTCTCGTTCCAGTCGTCCTCATGCGCTATCGGTTGTGGCTTTCTCCTCCGCGAACGCCTCAACTTGTGTACCTTTAAACATTAATTTTCCTCGTAAGACTTATGACTTTTATTTCTTCTACGCTAAATATTTACAAGGAACCCTTGCGAGGTGTTCGCCTCTGATTTTCATGCAATATGCTGTAGAATATAAAAAATTAGAAACACGTATTTTTTTTATCAGCCGAGAAGCGTTTTTAGGGGGTAAAAATAACTCTTCATAATCACCCCTGAAAATCAAATTTTATTAATATTAAAAAAAAATTGAATATTGATATAATTTCAACGCCAAATTGCTTGTTATAAAATGGCAGTTTTATGACAATTAATTAATTAACCCAAACGAGTTGCAACCTATCATCTTTTTAAGTAAAAATATTGCTTTTTTTACATTTTTTTGAGTACCAGATTTTCAAAATCGTTTGAATTAAATTAAAAAATATATTTTTGTAAAGAAAAGGAAACATATTAGTCGAGATGTTTCAGGAATTTCATTAAAAAATCGATTTATAGGGGTTATTTATTCTTATATTCACAAAATTTTAAAGTTAATAAAAAAAATATTTCTTGGTTGGAGTAGCTTCGTAATTTAAAGATAAACAAGATTTATGTATATTTTAAAGTGTGAAACAACCTTTACGAATTTTCTCTGGAAATTTATTTTTATGAATATTGTAAAAATTAATTTGAATATTCATATAATTGTAATACTAATTTTTTTTTTATGTACAGACTGTCTTATAAAGATTATTTGAAAAATATTTATTAAATAATACATATTGTAATTTATTTTAAATAAATTATATTATAATAAATTATATAATAATATTGCGAAAAAAAAACTAAAACTATTGTAAATAAACATATTTTGTCTACAATTTTTTTACACGTAAACAGAAAGTTAAAGCTGTATTACAAATTTAACTATATATATAAAGAACAACAGAAATTACAAACAAATAAGTAAAAATAAAGAATTGCAATACAGATTCCCGTACAAATAAGTCGTCGGGACGAAACGGTGTTACTGGAGAGGTGTTCAACCGTTGCGGAGCGATAGCCTTGTACGGCAGACAATGGTGAGCCTCTTTGGCAAACTAAGACAAATAAAGATTGCTCAGCGGTCGTAATCCTGCGCACCGCGGAGAACCTAATTATCAGAAGTCCACGACATCACGACTATCATGCGCGCACCAGAGATGATTTTTGAGGAGCGGAAAGAGAGAGAAGAAAACTCATAGTGTCGGTTGCTCTAGCTGTCACGTCTTTCCTTCTAATGGGCTTGAGCTTTGATAGTGATGGAGCAAATGACGATGGTTGTGCCGCAGTGGCCGAGGACGATCCGGCTCACCAAACCACCAGTCAACAAAACTAAAACGAAGATTCCTGCAGCAATCCACGGCGCACTCCGAATCCACACCAAAGTCCTCTGTTTTGTTACCAATAGTAACTTCCCGTGCTAAATCTTCATGTAAATTCTTCTCTTCTATCAACGGTGACTCATCGAGCTGAATCTTCATGTACTCGTACAATGATCCTCGTTTTTCATCTTTCACTCTCTTATATATTTTCTCTTCTCCCCTCCCGTTCGCTTCTTCACCTCCATGGCCTGCCGGAAGCTGTGTAGCTAATTCTCTCTAAGCCGTTTATCCGCCACTTCAAATCATATAAACCAGGCATTAGTAATGCGCTAACGCAATTACATCGATGCCTGGCTTAACGATAGCACGCGCAGACAGCGAGAGACTAAGGACGACAAGGAAATCGCTACTAAGCGATTTTCCCCATTACAAATTTAAGGTACAAATAATAGTCATAGAACTGCCATTTTATTCTTTCCACACTTTAAAAAATATATAAACCTCGTTTATCTAAATTTCATAGCTACTCCAGGAAGGTATTTTTTTTATTAACTTTGAAATTTTGGAAATATCGAGGTGAAAAACCGGCATAAATCGATTTTTTAATAAAATTCCTGAAACACCTCGACTTAAATTTTCCGTTTTCTATACAAAAATGTATATTATAATTTAATTTAAACAATTTTGAAAAGGTAGTACTCAAAAAATTGTAAAAAAAGTAATATTTTTACTTAAAAAAATTATAAGTTGCAACCCTATAGGGTACAAACAATTGTCATAGAATTGCCATTTTGTAACAAACAAAATGGCGTTGGAATTATATCAATATTTAATTTTTTAGAGATATTATGAAAAGTTTATTTTCAGGAATTTTTTTGCAGGGGTGTTTACAACCCCTAAACCGCTTCTTCGCCGATAAAAAAAATACGTGTCTCTTATTTTTTAATGTTCTACAACATATTACAGTTCCATAAAAATCAGAAGTGGACACCTCGCAAGGGTTTCTTGTTAGTGGAAATAAATTTCTAACCTTAGAAAAAAGATCTTGCAATGCACTTTTATAGATGTACAATAGCTGGGGAAAATTTTTAATTGCTTTCCTCAACTGGTTTGTCTAAATTATAGATCGTATATATTTAAAACTATTACTATTAAAATTATCCATACCTGGAGTGTTACAATTAGTTTTGAAATGTTCTATACAGATATTTTAATCGTAAAAAATAAAATTACAACGATTGTTTCAATTTGTCATTAATTTTTATGACCACTACAAAAACAAAATATTTATATGCATTCTAACCGAACTGACATCTTTCAATATCAACAATATATAATTTAAGTAATCTTTTATAGGAGAATTGCGAAAAATTTTCCGTGGTTATTGTCAATCTATAAAAGTGCACAGATAGAATAATAATAAAGTGTATAACTAAAATAATAACGATTCTCATTAGTTACAGTTTTATTTTATGAAAAATATCCAACATCGGTAAAGAGCGTTCAAATATTAATAAAAGACAATAGAGAAGTAATGTGAATATTGTAAAATAATCAAGAGCACTACTGGTAATAAAGTTACAAGACAGGTAGAGCTTGCAGTGACCGGGAATACAAGAAGAAGCGAGGCACCTTGTGGCTGGCCTTAAAGTGCAGTCTGGACTGGAATGGCTCAGAGGGACAAGGAGGTGGTGGCAACTCAAGCGAGTCTTGGTTTTTCTCTTCGGCTGTAGCAAGATACGTGCAAGTATTGGGTAACTCATGACCGTGGAACCGGTGAGCTGTCATAAACGTGTGATTCCATTCATCTATAAGGCAATTCGATAAAATAGGCTTGATCTGATTTTTGATCGGTGACTTCCGATAAGAAATAAGGTCAGTGCGTTTAGTCGGTTCTCCAGAGTTCCAAGTTTTGCGACATTTGATCAGCGACTGGTTATGACAAGAGGACTGTGGCAGCAGCGATTTCTGCTGATGCTTCCATTGTTGTTGCTGATCCTGTTGTTTATGCACCACTTGATGGTAGTCTGTCGTCGATGTTTTAAATAGATCCCCGTAGTAGTAGGGCGAAAGGTATGTAGAAGGCAGACTATCCGTTGACAAACAGTCCAAATGCGAGATGATCAGGTGCTTTAGCAGGAGTACCTCTGGTATGGTCCCCTCATTAATGACCAGATCACCTGACTCTGTACTATCCCATTCTGCACCCAACACTATCAGAATATTATTAATGACTCACCTTCACGAATAAGTATTAACATGCACAACTCTGTTTCTGTTATTCGCTAAGCCTTCTATCATTTTTATGTATAATCATTATTCATTTACTTTTTAAAATCTTTAAAAAATTATTCATAAAAAAATTTTGATTACTAAAAACTAGACCAAAGTAATTGTGTTTTCGCGGTCATTAATTTCAAATCCAAGGTTAGTTTAATCTGATCATGTCAGGCTCAAGGTCATTTCAAGGTTAAATCCACAGAATACATTAAAACTAATTTGAAATAATAGATCTATATGTTTTTCGGGTCAGTGAATCCGAATCTGGGGTCAGTTTAACACTTCAGTGTAATATTCAAGATTATTTCTAACTTAAAGCTGTAGAATTCATCAAAACTAACTTGAACTATTGCATCTACAGCAATAGATGATTTGATATTTAGGATTCATTTGATTATTAGGTAAGTTTTAAGTTCATTTTAATATACGTCATGTTAATATTAACGTTTATGTAAGTTATATTAAACCTATTAATTTTATTTAATTCTGTCGAATTGAAGGATCGTACATTTATTCTAATAGGTTTAAATTGACTGAGATCTGATACTGTTATTGCTTGATTTTGATTCATTTTTGAATTATAACGTTTTTTTAAACATAAAGTACAAATGCCTGTAGACAATTCTTTTCGAGAAGAATCATAATTACACAAAACTTTCTCAATACGCTCCTCAATTTTTCCATTCGAAGTTATATTTCTCATTATATTTCTATTTTTCAAATTAATAATACTATTTACTTTGTAATAGAACAAGCGCAACCTTTACGATAATCTTTGTTACTTAAGACGTTTGTAGACATCTTGAATATAATATTGAACTTTATGTAAAATTGATTCGAACTCTTAAAATTAAAACTGTAAATAAAATGTAAATATACCAATTATAAATTAATCCTATTTTTTACCGAAATAGTAGTGAAAGATTAAGGATTATTTATATTCATTCATTATTTACATATGCTGTGTACAAGTGACATATAGGCATGGCTATATCTATACTCCAGCCAGTGGGTAAATACGTTCCATGATAATTATTTGTAACAAATAATCTTAAATGCAAAATTATGAATTTGATCTAAAAAATCTCGTTTTTTTTCAAAAAAAAAATGCATGAATGAATTCAATTATGATCATAAAATACTAGATGTACTTACTAGAAAACATTTCAAAGGAAAACTCTTGGTTGTTTTGAATTTTTATAATAAATCAGTTAAGACTCACCGTGCTCATCTGCTAACATATTGATATCTCATCTTCCTTTATATCTATGTTCCATTTCTTTGATATTCTAGTGGAATTTATTTCCTTATTCATTACTGTAATGACCTAGATTTTCAGGAGAATTGTCCACGTGAGAATGTAACAAGTGTAGCTTCAAGATTATTAAGCACCCTTGGTTTTTATAGCTTTTTACCAAATACGACTTTATTTCTTTGTAGTTTGAACTCTTATGATTTCCCAGAAAGTTCTTAACTACGTTCTTGAAACACAATCACGATATTTTTTATTTTCTATTTATTTTTATAACAAAACTATCATCATTAATCATCTAATGAATCTGAGATACGTTACAAATCCCTTTCTTTCTTCTAGCATAAGTTCATTTGGAAAACTTATTTCGGAGATATTTATATCATATTCCATCTTTGTTTAAAGATTATACCCATTGTTTTATGAGTCCCAATTTAATATGCAGAGGTGGTATAAGAATTTTTGTTGGATCAACAAGTGATTCATTTTGCATTCTTAAAACCAAATTCAAAGGTTTTTCTCGGAGGTGAGACACTCTGTATTCAATACTTTTCTCAATCTTTACCATACTATTTATATAAAAAGCAAAGATATTTCATAAATCCCGATTGTTGATCTAGTAGTATAATGAGAACTTAAGATTCCATAAATTTGCCATTGATGTTCATTTTACTTGATAAATTATTTGTAAAATAAAAATTTTACTTAATAAATTAATTTAATTTTACTTGATAAATTAATTGACTAAAATTACCTTCATGTTACAATACTCTTCATCCAATATAACTGAGTGTGGTATAGGAACAGATTCATAAACATTTGTGTTATGTAAAAGAACGGCTTTTATACTTTTTGTAAACGAATTAATGAAAATCTTTTACTCATTTGGTTAACATCCTAGTTTAAGCTTATTCATCAATCCAAAGATATCATTGCATTACACTAGCCAGAATTCTTCATCTTCTACAAAATATTTATGAAATTCCTTACCTCTATCGTCATAGTATAAACATTTAATTTTTACAGCTTCCTTTGTATTTTTCTTTAGCCATGATGCTAGGTATTTTGCTCTATCTTTCGGCAGACCCCAATCCCGAATAATTTTATTTACAGCCTCTTGTGATATTGGACGTTTGTTCTTTTTAGTAAAATGTGGAGTGTATTTCTTATCACTTGCATTTACTGCACTATTTACGACATCTTCGTCACTTAAATATTTGTCTTCTCTATCGTTTTTTTGAGAAACTTTATTAATTACTTCTCGTAAGGTCTCCATATTTTCATTTCTTCAAAACTAGTGTAACGTTTGATCCTTATCTTATGTTTTTGAAATAAATAGTTCGGATTCTAAGATATATTCATAATCGCGTTTTCAAGAGTAAGCAAGAAGTTGACACGTGAAAGTTCTTTGAGTTTTGATATTACTACAATCAACGAATAGCGAACACAGTGTTATCCACGTAGTTCACCGCTTCGATGAGCCGTTTGAAATACAATTGAGTACTGTTATATCTATCGAGGGAAAGCCCGACAGCGCCGCAACGAATACTCTATTTAATTTCTAGGTAATATTTATTTTGGAGAGGAGATAATCTAAAGCTGCTTTTTTCTCATAAGAGAGAGAGTCTTATGAGTTGAGCACTTAGATTATCGTGTACGAAAGGAATAGCAGGCTAACCACTGAATAATGAAAATCAGTCTCAGAAAATAGCTAAGTCTTTATTTCAATCAATGCTCGCACTGCTAGGTAAGGTAGGATTCTAAGTCCTCTTGCCGCAGCGACGAGCGAATTTATACTTGCAAAAACGGCTCCTTTCTACGCTTGGTAGCCCCTTCAACGCTATTTTTGATATTCGCACAAACTTTGTACAGGTTTTGTCGCAAAATGGCTTGCTCGAAATTGAAAATTAGTGATTTAAAAAATCAAGTAGAAGATAAAGAATTTTTTAATATAAATCGTTTTTCAAGGAAAAATCGCCTCTTAAATTTATAAGTGATTTAAGTTAGATAAGTGAATAACACGGAATTTACAATAAATTTACGGAAGATTTTTATATCAAAAAGTCACTTGTGATAAGTGGAACATTATTCAAAATAAAAACCTCTAATTTAACAATCCGTTTTTGAATAATAATGAAATAATGAATTTGCGAATTCCTCTTTTAGCCATTATAAAATCAACAAACGGATAACAATCGTTATCAGTAATTTTATAGGTATGTACCGTTGAATCGCTATCTCACAACGCAATTTTAATTGTTTAAATAAATTATAAATTTTTTATTTATTGATAACTCGGTAGAAAATCTGTTATGAAAGTGTTAAATTCTTGCTTCTCTTTCTTAAGGCACTAGGATCGCTATTGTATATCCGAATTTGCATCATATTTATTTGTTGCAAAATTACTAGCGATATTTACTTGTAAATTAAATTAAGCTAACAAATACATATTGAATGATTATAATAATTTGAGATTAGCGCATGGAAATTGACTGAAAAATGCTTTTGTTCGTAAAAAAAACTTTGCAATTATTGATTTTGCATAGGAAACAATAAATTTCCCATGCTCATGATGTCACGCTCCTTATATTGTTTTCACCGAATTGCCCTAACACATTTATGCGTATATGTGAAGAGCGCCTTAGCTCTGATACTGCTTTTCTTTAGTTTTCTTGTGTATGACGGGTTGCTGTTTTGTAGTGGAAGACGAAAGAAAAGGCAAATCAGACTGGACCGTTACACTAGACTAAATATCCATAGCAATAGTTGAGTCTGTATGAAATGTTTCTTCTTTTTCATTATTCAGTGATATATATATATATTGGTTTCACTATACTTTCAATATTAGCGTAATTAATTTTCTAATTATTTTTGCTATTTATCTCATGTAAATTTGTATTACCAACATAATAATCTCTTTTATTGATTGATTTCTTTCATAAAGTAGATACTTTCATTTTTAGTACAATGTTACTATTCTTGAAAATTTAAACATCTTCCTATAGAAAGTGCATATAATATTTGATACCCAACCCAATCATGTTCCTCATATTTTATTTCAAAGCTGAACAATTTTTCATAGTCATTTTTAATACCAAGATTGATATGTCTTTTATTTGTAGTAAGTTAAAGGTCATTTGTAGTAAGTTAAAGGTTTAAGGTAATAACCTTAAACCTTTAACTTACTACAAATGACACGAAACTTATATGTGTATAAATGAAAAATATACGTGCTAAAATGAAGGGCTTAATGAAACATAAAAATGAACTTAAAAATTACCTAATAGTCAAACCAACTCCAAATACGAAATTAGCTATTCTAAAAACCTATAGACCCGTTATTTCAAGCTATATTTAACGATCTCTGTATATTTGACTATAAAATAACTTTAAACATGACCTGCTAAGGTTAAGCTGATCTCGGATTTGGATTCAGCGCCCCGAAAACCCTATAGACCTATTATTTTAAGATAGTTTTGATGAATTTTACGGATTTGACCTTAAATAGCCTTGAACATAACCTTGAAGGGTTAAACGGACACCAAATTCGGATTCAGTGAATCGAAAAACCTATATACTTACTATATAAAGTTAGTTTTCATGAACTCTGTGGATTTAATCTTGAAATGGTTTTGAAGTTAATCTGATCAGGTAAAATTGACCTCGAATTCGAAATCAATGACCTCGAAAACATTAATCTAGTTTTTGGTACTTAAAATTTTTTTTATGGGGCTGTATTATCAATTCTACTTTTGTTAACCCTTTGACTGTGGCGCGCTCTCGGAAGAATCGATCTATATAGGCGGCGCGTTTTTCGCTTGTCAGTCACTGAAACTATTGGACATTGACAGTGACCAAAACGGTACCTAGAAATTTGATGCCATTTTTAATGATTAATAAATAATGGTAAAAAATTAAAAATAAAGAACATATATATGTGCTTTTCGTATAAATTGATGGATTTGTGAGGACGTATATACACGCCTTTAGCAGTCAAAGGGTTAATATTTTAATTATTATTGACTCTCTAATAAATAGACTGATTTTTATATGACGTCTTCGACATATAGCAATTAGTAATAAGTAGATTTACCTTGAACACCAAAATTTCGAGATTCTGAAGAAATATCGTAAGAAGTCTTTTTTCTCTTTCCGCAATTCGAAAGTTTATCACTAGTTTCCTCATTCTCCCATGAAGAATCGGAATTTGATAGATCTGAAATAAAAAATTAGCATTGGATATATTTGAGCAGAGCTTTTTAAGTGACACGAATTAAACATTGTTTAGTCACTATATTTAATATAGTTGAACTTAATACATTACTAGCATCATTGACCGATCGCTACTGTAAAATAAAAATAATATAATTTTTCATTTTCACTATATGTTTTAAGCTCTTAGGAACGGCACCATGAACGCACAAATAAACAAATTTTTTTTCATGAATCTATTGTTTCTTTGTGCTAAAAACTTAAACATTAAAGAAATATATCGTTTAGTCGATATATTTTTTTATATAAATGCATGTTCGCATGTGTGGACACTAGTACTATTTGAAATGAAAAAATTCAATATCTGTCCACATGTATGGACACAGGACAGAAGAGATTGAAGAAAGTTTAAGTGAGAACTTGATTAAAATATAAATTTAAGGTGAGCGCGAAAAATGTAATAAATAGCATAATGTTTTAGATATAAGATGTTTCACCCGATTTTGTCAGCTAGGGAATTCAACTGTAAACTTTTCATATTTGCATAGTTTCTATAGCGAAATATTATACCGTTGACGTCAGTTTAATGTTGCAAAGTCTGCAACTAATTAAATAACTATGAATCTTTTGCTTTATAAAAAGAACATAAGAATTATTTTAGCGATTCTTATGTGCTATTGTTTTACAATATCAAATTTTGTGAAAAAAAAACTTTCCATACAAAACCAACACCTTTTTTGTTCATTTGGTTCACCGAGAGTAAGCAGTACGCAGGAACAACTTTGAAGTTAAAAAACTAAACATGTCATTGTCACATACAATATACGAGGTGTGTTTAAAAAATACCCGGAATTTTTAAATTTCGCGGGTCTGGAGAGTCCGATTGTCAAAATTATTTTTTATTGTGTTGGTATACATGCCCATGAAGTATGATAAAATTTTCAGCTATATTCACTTTTACTTTGTCTGCGGTAGTCGCTAAGGTTTGACGTGTTTTTATGAGCTCGGCGATTTTCGTTTTTTAAAAAAAATGGATCAAATAATTTGTATTAAATTTTGCGTAAAAAATGAAATAAAGTGTAATAAGCGTGTGAAATGTTACAAAAAAGTCTATAGTGAGTCTGTTATGAAAAAAACAAGTGTTTACGAGTGGTATAAGCGTTTCCAAGATGGCCGCGAAGACGTTGAAGATGACGAACGCTCCGGTCGACCCAGCACGTCAACAATCGATGAAAATGTGAAAAAAGTGGAAAAATGGTTCTGAATGATCGCCGAATCACAATTAGAGAAGTTGCTGATGAAGTTGGCATATCAATTGGCTCATGTCATAACATTTTTTCAAATGTTTTGGGCATGAAACGGGTGGCAGCAAAATTCATTCCAAAACTGCTAAACTTTAACCAAAAAAACAATCGCATGAACATCGCTCAGGAGCTGTTAAACGACGTCAACGACGATCCAAGTTTGCTTGAAAGGGTCATAACTGGTGATGAAACATGGGTGTACGGTTATGATGTCAAAACCAAAGCACAATCATCCACCTGAAAGCATTCAACGTCACCAAGAGCGAAAAAAGCACGTCAAGTTCGATCAAATATAAAGGTTTTGCTTACAGTTTTCTTTGACTGCAGGGGCGTGGTGCATCATGAGTTCTTATCACAAGGTCGTACGGTTAATAAGGAGTATTACCTTGAAGTTATGCGACGTTTGCGTGAAGCAATCCGAAAAAACACCCCGATTTATGGAAAAACTATTCATGGCTTTTGCATCACGATAACGCACCTGCTCACTCGTCGTTGCTTGTTCGTAATTTTTTGGCCAAAAACAATACCGTAGTCGTGCCCCAACCCCCATATTCACGAGATATGGCTCCGTGTGACTTTTTCCTGTTCCCAAAGTTGAAGAGACCCATGAAAGGACGGTGTTTTTCCTCGATTGAAGAAATAAAGGCCGAATCGCTGAGAGTGCTCAAGGACATACCAAAAAGTGAATATCAAGAGTGCTTCGAAGATTGGAAAAAACGCTGGCATAAGTGTATTATATCTGGGGGGGATTACTTTGAAGGGGACTACATTGATGTAAACGAATAAATAAATATTTTTTTGGAAAAACGATAATTCCGGGTACTTTTTGAACACACCTCGTATATAGTATAGGCGCAGGTGGCCTTTAAACGTTTTTGAAAGGTCTTCGTTATCTTCGACTTAATCTATGTTTTTAGGCCGCTAAATCATTTTCTTGAAGGTATGGAGATAAATTTTTGGCCATTATTTTGTTATTAACAATTTCATGTTGCAAAATGGAGTTTTTCTGCGTTTTAAGCCGAAAAAATGTAATTTATTAGAAATTGATATGCAGATTTCAATTCTACAAAAAAATACATTGAAAACGTATGTAATATTTAAAAAATTGATTTTGATTAATTAAATACAAATACAATTGTTTGTTTAATCAATCTCCCCGAGTCAAAGACTAATGAAGTGAAATACTGGTTTTTGTGCATTTCGATAGCCATACATTTTTTTTTAGAACTTTTATTTTTAAATAACAAGTTTTTAATTAAAATACAATCATATCGTTAACAGACAAGTATAATGGTTTGTTAGATACCTACTATATGCAAAAATCAAACATGTATTATGCCATGAGTAAAATTAGTAACATTTCCATTATTTGTTATTCCATTATTTGATGGTACATTTTTTGTTTGAATGAAGCAATAACTGCCTGTCGCAGTGTTTATATATACAATTATGATTCATGGGATCAGCCATGATTAACGTCATAATAGTGATATCAAAGCAATGTACAAGACACAGATCTTAGTTGGCTTATCGTGAGAGCCAATGCTATGTATCTGTTTAATGTTATGAAAGAGTTGTATATATTTTTTTTTCGTAAGTTTATCGTGTATTCTTTTTTATTTACAAAGTTGTCTTATATATAAATATGTATCATTTTAGAAACTAATTGTTTTCCTTGATATTTTTCGTTATCTAAAATAAACAAAATATTCCAATCGATTATGTGCCTACATAATTAATTATTGTAGGTCACTATTATAGAGTTCGTATTTCTTTTATGTTGATTCGCTTCTTTACAATCATTCTCGGTCTCATCAACATAGTAACCGCTACAATTGTGGCAGTTTATTTTGTAAGCTTGTAATGCCATACATTACAAGACTTAACCTGACAGAGTTATAATTTTTACTATAGCTCAGAAGTCATTGTTACCTTTCCTCCTCATGTATTCAATCAAATAATTATGCCATATTTTTTATTTTTCGTTTTCAGTTATCCATTCCCAAGATAATGATGTAACAAACAAGAGAGCGCGATCCGACGACACTCGAATAAGAGAAAGAGGAAACAGACGACCAATAGAAAGGGAGTGCATGCCAAATACACATATCTACGACCACGTCTTACGGGCTCACGAAATATGAAAGAAAAGCTAAAGAAAATTTCATGAAAATGCACGTAAAAGAAATGACAAGCGCGTTATACACTCGTGTACACGGAGGCATATCACTGAGGCATTGACACCCGTCTTAATTGTATTAAGTGGCACACATATAATACAATTCGCTAAACACGATGCTTATACGCATACAACACATGTGATACTACCGATGAAGAACGCTCGAGAAAGCATCACGAAGACCGATACCGAGGTTCGACGTATACACGGGAGAGCGTTGGCGGACATTTTGAGTCAATTATACCATCTAAGCAAAAGCGAACAAAACAGACTCAGCGAGAACGAATGAGACATACTAAACGAGAGCGAGCGAGATAGACTAAACGAGAGCGAGCAAGTCAAATTAAGCTAGAGTAACATATGTAGAATACAGAAAATACTGCGAATAATGTGAATTAAATAAACATCAAAATTTACGCTGCAAAGTGGACCATGCGTAACAAAATACTTTTCAGTAACATACGTATTATTGACATTACATTGACGCGATTAACTACGGATGAAACGACTGACAACGAAATGAAATAAAATAAAAAAAAGTGATCAGTGATTAACTGCGGTTATATATATGTATATTGACCAACAAATGTTTGCAGCAATGTATGAATATAAATGATGAATATAAAAACTTAAGTAAACCATGGGTTCATAACTCGATAAGTGGCAATTATCGGGAAACTTTTAAAAATTAGGATACCCTAAAAAAGATGTTATTGAACCAACAGTTTGGCTTGAACCACTAAATCGTGATAATAGCTGCTACATCTGTACATGTCATATCAGTGGATTCAATCGTAATAACAAAAGTAAGGAGCGTAACACCAGCGCTTTATGAGCTTTATGGAAAAGTAGACAATGAGCAGTACCCCGTTCAAACTAGACATTTAAGAGAAAAGTTAGATTATATTAATGGAGATGATCACAGTGATTTTGAAAAGTCCTTTGTATCCAAAGATTCAAATTTTTTCGACCAGAATTCGCTGAATGATTGGATACGGGATTTTAATCTCTCGAAAACGCCAATACAATTGCTTTCTTAAAGACTGAAAAAGAGAAATCTTTTATTATCTACTAAAATTTGCGTGTATAGAGATAAAATACAAGTTTCGGAAATATTTACCTACGCTGATAATCTTGTTTACTGCAGTGATAAGATAATGCAAGAGTTTTAATTGATTGTTAAGGAATAAAAGATGTATATGAATCCAAAAACTGACGCCTGTTCTTAGACTCGTGAGTACAAAGTCTTAAAGCAGTTCTTCTCTATAATAGCGATGAATATGTGGTTGTTCCTATTGGGCACTTACCTATCATAAAAGAACCTCGTGAGAGTTTTGAATTATTGCTTGAAAAAATCAATTGACGTTTATATATCAATTAACTTGATATAAAAAAGCTTATAAATCTGAATTGGAAATGAGTTCTGTAGAGAAAAAAGTTTGGAAAAGTTTCAGAAATTTGATAGAATATTTTTTGAAAAATTACCGAGATCCAGGATATGACAAACTTGTAACCGACATG